GGGGGGGGGGGGGTCGAACCGGTAGTGACCCCCCCCCCGGTTTTCCGCCAGCAGCGGTAGAACACGCTCTTTCATATATATATATATATATATATATATATATATATGTATCCCCCGCCGTCTGGCCGTGCCTTGCGCGAAGCGCCCACTATGCACGGTGGCGCCCCGTTTTCTCTGGAGAGGCAGCGACACGCCAAAGGCCGAGCCAGATCATGCCAGGATTAAATCGAGATTAGATCGAACACGCCATCTGCAGGCTGAGGTTGCAGAGGAAAAAGAGAACAAAGAGGGAGGGAGGGAGGGAGACTTGAGCAAAGGTGGCCATCGGACACGATGGGCGGCAACGGGGCCGACGGCGAGGATTCAAATACGTGTGGAACACTGAACTGTATCCCCCGCCGTCTGGCCGTGCCATGCGCGAAGCGCCCACTATTGAGTGTTTTGGGTCAGCGTAAGGAGGGCTATGTTGCGTTCCTGGGTTTTGATGGCCTTTCGTAGGGGGGGGCCGAGGTCGAAGTGCGTTGGGGGGGCCGCCGACGCCGAGGGCCCCGAGGTCGTGCTTTCATGGGCGCGCCGCGGGTGTCGAAGGGATGGGCATCACATATTCATGGGTTGCTTGGCGGCGTCGGAGCTCCAACAAAACGCCCGTTCCTGTGCATTCGCCTTCGCAATTACTTGCGATGGCGCGCGCTGTCCTGGGACCACTCTGGCCTTGTGTAATGGATTTGGGCGCGGCCTTCCTGTGTTGAGCTGAAGGCGCGTATCGGTTCATTGCGTTGTGCCCTGTAATAACTTTCAGCACGTGGCCCATAGAGCGGGTTTCGGTTGCCATCTGAAACCTCCCCTGTCGCCCTTATCCGCAATGGCGGGGTCGTTATTGTTCTGCGCCTGCTGGTCTGGTTGCCCCGCCCGCGACGACGTCCGAGATGACCAGTGTCGTTTAGACGTTGCGCCTGCCATTAACGCGAGGCAGGCGAAAAAGAGAGGAGGGGGAGGAGGGAGTGGAGGAGTGAGCAGGACAGTATACGGGGAGGGGGGAGGCAAGAGAAGCAATAAGGACGGAGGGAGGGATGAGGAAGGAGGAGGATGGAGGATAATACGCCCAGGAAGGGATGAGTATAATGCGAAAGTACATGAACTTAAACAGGTTTGGTATAGGGATGTGGAGGGGCTGATAAAGAGCGGCCCTATGCGTTTCAACCTGCGCTGGGGCGCACCGTGATTTCCCGCGCGTATTCGGAACCCCGTGTTGGAGGGCACCCGCCAGTAATGCGATTTGAGTGCAAGCGCTGTTTGAGGATTAGCGTGATGCCGACCAGAATTGTTGCCCTGAGCACCCCCCTCTCCATGCATTTCTCGTCCGTAACCATTTTGGCTCAATCCTTTCTGTGGCCATCCGATTCGGGGGTGGTGCATGTCCGATTCTGAAGACGACTGGGTTGCAATATCTGCAGCGAATCGTGCCAATGGCAATGGTGATGTAGCCCTCGTGCCTCTCGGCGACCCCGTCGCCGACGCGTCGGATTCGGACGACGAGTGGTTGGCCCTCCCCCGCGTTCACTTCGGCAGGGAGGAGTTAGAACGCCAGGAGTTGGTGCTCGCGCCTGTTGCTGCTGCAGCCCTGGTGTGCCCCGAGAGGGCCCACTCCGTCGCCATCCTGGTGCACGGGCAAGGAGGCGGCGGCGTCCAACCAGTTCGAAGGTTTCGGGAACAACAGCGCGGTGTCGTTCAGAAGCTGTTGCAAGAGTTGCTCGGCACGGTCAGGTCAGAGAGTGAGTTGGGCCGAACTCTTGCGTCCCACGCCACGCTCGCCAAACAGGTTGGATTGTCAAAAGGTCGTTTCCGATCATATCTGGCAGCCGCCAGTGCTGTCAATTTTAAGCTGTTCAAGGGCGCGTGCGAGAGGATGTGCAGACTCGCCCTCGCCGCTTGCGGCGCCCGCCATGATCATGAGAGAATCGAGCCCGTAGTATTCGTGAAGCACAGAAAGTACGACGGCACGCAGTCTCGATTGAAAGTTCAATTCGACAAAAGTGTGGATGCGATTGCAGATTGGGAACATCCAGACGCAAAGGAGGACAATGTAGGAAAGCACGAGGTCATGGTTGTCGAAAGCGGCTTGGCATACGCTATTCGAAAAGTTCGGCCAGGCCTCCCAGACCAGTACATGATATTAAAAGCACGCGTCCCGACCAGACTTCGCGTCGTGGACCGACGCACTGGCGAGACAATCACTCGATGTTTGGAGGGCGCTCGTTTGGATGAGGAAGTGGAGTCGGAGATCGACGCTGTGTTTCCCAGAGTTGTACAAGTATCCGTGAGAGATGAGGCTTCAGGGAACCGCCGTGCAGAGCGAGGTGAGAGATTGTCCAACCAGCGTACCAGGTTTCTCGAGCTCCCTTGCGATGCCCATAAAATCGAGGCCGTCCCGAAATCATTGTTCTCTCTGCTGGGCGGCATTGATACCAATATGATTCGCATGGCGTTGGCGTTGCGCAGCGGCAACATGAAAAAGTTACGCACTCATGCCCGTCGTATTGTGTGCGACCAGGTCCTCATCGTCAATGGAGGCTTCCCTTCGGTGGAGGCGGATTTGCACCGCAGGCGATGCTTGGAGTTGTTCTGCCCCGATAAGACCCCGAAGGATGCCTTGCGGAGGGCGCTCGTTTCAAAGTTGTTCAACGGTGACTGGAGGAAGCCTGGCGTTTTTGAGCACTATTGCCGCGGTTGCTGCAGGGGGCCTTGGGAGACGGTCGGGTTGATGCGGACCGTCGGCGTCGCCGCCTTGCTCCCGAAGAACGTGAAGGCGCTGTCCCGCAGCAATTGGACTGGCGCCGTGGAGGCCGCGAACGATTTGGGCCTCCCCTCCCAGGTCCGCCCGCGCCCAGGGACGAGGTCGAGGATCTAGGATGGGGAGGGGGAGTCGAGGTGGGCGCAGAGAGCCAGCGGCGGAGGAAATAGGAGGATGTCGGTTAAAGTTGCAGGCGGGGGCGGGCGGGCGAGTGCGGAGGCGGAGGGGCGGGGGGGCTCTCTTCGGGATCTCGCGCGGCGTTTTCTAAGCGGCCCCCTTGGGGCCTCTGAAATGCGCCGTCTCGGTCTCCATCGGGCGTAAATGGCACCGTCCCAGGGCCGCATTGGCTTTCCTGATGGTCTCTTGTGTGGGCCCCGCCCGTAGTCTCGCATGGGCCCCGCCCCCCCCTGGTCTGGCCCTCCACGCGGCAGCTCCCGAAGCCAGCCGCGGGGCCCGCCAAGGGCCACCCCGTGGGGTTCTCTGGGGGGGTAGGCCCATATCGTCGCGGCAATGGACGGCAGGTTCATTCCCTGTTGCCCGCCGCGTTCCTGGCCGCGTTCCCGCAGCCTCGCGCGCCGCCTTATCCGCTGCTGGCTGCCGCGCCCGCGGGCGGCGCAGTCGGCGCTGGTGCCGCCCCCGACGGCGGCGCGTTGGCTGCTCCAGTGGCGGACCCGCCGCCCGATGACGAGGCGGGTCGGGCGCCCGCTGCCGAGGCTAAGGTTGACGTTAGCGTGTATCGAGAGGATTTGGAGGTCTCCGTGAAAGGATCGCACGCCTGGGCACGCAGTGGAGACATGCCCGACGACCTCAAACTCGCTCGCATTTTCTTGGGTGCGTGCGAGACGTGCGTGCTCAAGCAGCTCTCTGTCACTGGTGTTGAGTGGGAAAAAAAACAGCAGCGCAACATGCTACAGACGGGGTCTCGGTCCTACCCCATTTGGGAAGCATTCGATGGGAGCATCACCAAGGAGGGCTTTAAAGTTGCATCTGACATGACACTCTCGACAGACATATGGTCTTTCATGGGCGATCGCTCTGAGGATACGCAGCTGAAGGTTTACTTGGCTGGGGCCCGAATGGGGGCCGCTCTGCACATGTATCTGAGAGTTCGGCATCAGACATGGCCATACCGCACGTTCGACACGTTGCGCTCCCAGGATTCGCTGCAGGCGCTCATGCGTGCCAGAGATTGCGAGCTGGATGCGTACTCTGTGAAGTTTAGGGACTCCCACGCCATTCTAGGCCCAGGCAGCCCATCGGCGCGATGCGAGCTCTTCTGCGTCATGATGTGCAGCGACACTGACACGGCCTCCACCGAGCGGCTGCACAGCGTGAACGAGAGGCGCGCCAGATTTCGGGTGTGGTCCCATGCATATGATCTGCCGTCGTTGTCTGGGTGGTTCTGCAGCAGGCAATGCCGCGCCTTGGATACCCAGGTGCAGTGCTACTGCGGCGGCGATGTCGAGGCCGCGCCTTCCGCCGCAGGCGCTGCTCCAGCCGTCGGCGCGCAGGGGAGGCGCTTGAGCACCAGGCAGCGGAGCCAGTACACATGGAAGGCATTTTGCCACGAGAACGGCGGCGGGCGGAAGTTCACTGCTGAAGTCCTCGCAGAGCTCTCTGCGGCGTACCACGCCCTGAGCCCCGATGCGAGGTCCCGTTACGAAGAGATGGGCAGCGTTGCCGCGGACCTCTGGGAGGCCGGCGTGCGCCGCCCCTTCGGCCCTCGGAATCTGGACGGGCGCCGCCGCGGCGGCCGCTTCTGGAGGCTGGCCGCCCAGGTTCAACGAGCGCATGTCTTGAATGGCGTCGGTGGTGGTCATCAGGGCCCTGGCGCGTCATCCTCAGTCGTGATGAGAGCAGCCGAGAGGTCTTACACTGAGAAGGCGAATGCGATCAAGGCCATTGCCAACGAAGGGGCCGAAGTGCAGGCGTTCTTGGACAGGAGCCACCAGGATGCAGCCCCTGCGCACGCAGCAGAGTGGGGTCAATCCCATGGCGCATCCAGCAGCGCCGTCACCGTGCAAGCGCACGAGGTGCCCACCGTGTACTGGCGCCCTCCCACAGCGATGGCACTCCGCGCTGCCGAGGATGCATTCTTGAGGAACAAGGTGGAGCGCTCCGAGAAGGAGTGGGATGATGCGCACGCGGTGATCGAGCACGACAAGTGCAGGCAACTCGGCGACGTGCCCACTACGCGGCGAGTGTGCAATGAAGCAGGCAGTTGCGTCTGCACAGGGCCTCGGGCGCGCTTGGGCCAGCTGGAGGGGCTCCTGCAGCGCGCCATCGCTCTCGCGGGGCAGACCCTGAGCGACTCGCCGAAGAAGTGGCGGAAGCAGCTGGACCAGGGCAAGGTGGTCCTGAGTTTTCGTTGCCATTCGGCTGGCGGCGAGGGCGACGCGGGTGACGTCTCCGCGGCCGCTCCCGACGGCGGCGCCCTGAGCGAAGCTGTCGCGCAGTTCTTCCACTTGGCGTTCATCAAGCACGGCGGTAGCATGACGTGGGCGCCTGGCTTCGTGAAGCTCGATCGGGATCCTGAAGGTGAGCGGGTCATCGACGCAAGTGTTTCTGCTGTTGCGAGGGGCGTGGGAGCTTTGCGGGCTCGGGGGTCGCGGGCTGGCCTCGCGCGCAGTGTTTCGGCGCCCCCCCCAGGCTCGCGAGGGAGGAGTGGGTGAGGCGGTACGGGTGTATGGTGGCGGTGTTTACATGTGCGGTTTGTTTTACCCTGGGGGTGGAAAGGGGGGGGGCGCCCGCGCGAGGCCAGCCTCTGGCGCCCCGAATCTCAAATGCTGCCCACCCGAGGTGACAGGCCTGGCGACGACCCGCCGTGCTTGGGGGTCATGCCTTCCATGAGCCGCCCGCCTCAGCAGCCGAATGAGGCGTGCACGTTGGACATCTGGGGCATGTTTGAGCTGCTCCGCTACGAGGCAGCTCACATCTACGTCGACTTCTACCACTTCGTCTCGTCGTCTGATCGCGTGCTTCGCATCGACCCGCGACGCCAGCGCATCGCTCATGACGTGATCGACTCGATGGACCTCTTCAACCTGCCCGTGAAGAAGAAGAAGGGGAAAGCTCGGAAGCGAGATGGTCGCCGACGGGATGCCGCTGCGAAGCGGCGCCGCCGCGCCAATGCCCCCCCTGCACTCGAGGACGAAGAAGGCGCAGAGGTCGACCCCGTGGGCAGCGACTGCGGAGGCGAGGGCGAGCCCGACGACTGGCTAGCGCGCCTTTGTGAGAGCAGCAGTTCCAGCGGAGGCGAGCTTCCAGTGCCACCCGAAGACCACGTGGACTTCTTCTCAGACGGCTCTTCATTCAACTCGTGGGATGTATTCGGCGCGCCGTCGCGCGCGGGCTCAGACGCCGAAGTTGAGCCGCCAGGGGGCGGCGACGAGGGCGGGCGCGGGTCTGGCGGCGAGGATCCAGCCCCTGGCGGCCCTGAGCAGCCTGAGGAGCCGCAGCCGCCCGACCCGCCTGCTGGCCCCGACGAGGAGGGGCCGCCTGGGCCGCCGCCGCCGCCGCCGCCGCCAGGTGGCGGCGGTGGCGATCGAGAGGATGCCGATTCCATCCCGATCCCTGGCGGTGTACTGAAGCTGTATCGTGACCGTTTCGTCGTGGAGTGCACTCGCGGTGATCACCCTCGGTGCAGCTTGCAGAGGACGTTTCGGCCATCTCCTCTGGCTTGGAGAGCTGGGCAGGGCCGCCCACTTGGCCTGCTGTGCGCTTGGGCGCAGCATTCGCACGCCTATGGGCTGACGACTTGGGACCACGTGCACGTTTTCAGGCCTACGCTCGAACAGCGCAGGGCCGCCAGGGCCGCCCTCGTGGCGAGGCCAGAGGCGGCGAGGTTTCTTGCGCAAGAGCGCCGCCGACGCCCAGGCGAGGGGCCTGAGCCTGACAATGTGCCTTGACCGTTGATTGATCAGGTTGAAAAGCATTCGCTTATATTGGTAGCTATGCCTTGCGATGACGTCCAGCGTCGCTTCGCTCCCTAGCAGGTGGCAGATGCAAGCAACAGGCAGCCGTGCACTTACGCGGTCTGCTACCATTCTTGCGCACCATACCCTTGTAAGTCCGTGGCTGCGACATTGAGAATGCACGCAAGCTAGAGGCAAGCTGCTGGCAACCATTGTCACGCCACCGCTCGGGGCGAAAATCCTGGA